TTGGACCATAGCATAAAATGTACGAGCACAGACAAAATATGACCTCAGGCGAAAACCCAGTAGATGAACAAGCAGGCGCATTTACGCTGTAGTTCTTCCTTCAGTTACCGTTAGTCCGATGCCGACTGGTGATTCGTAGCTTTATATCCGACTGATGAAAAACATGGCAACAGAGTAAGTTCAGACAGCAGCAAAGTAAACCACAACGAGGCGAGCGCGTTGTGTGTATTCAAAACTCGTTACTTCAAACAAATGATACAAAATAGTCGATAGCGAACTGATAAAAAGAAAGATAAACTATGGTGTATTCCCAAACGCTACAAGTTCGCAGGAAGCAAAGTAAAGGTTACGGTTAATCAAATGGGGCAAGCAACACAGTATTACTGACAGATGCATATAAATTAATGCAGCGTGAATGTTTAAAATAAAAGTAAGGTAGGGGACTCGCTTTCGAAGCTGGCAGTACATCATTGTTCTCGTACGCAATCAGTGCGTTTTTCAAGGGGAGGAATTTCGAAGATGGATAATCGGTTAAATTGAGTGTGATGTAAAAGGAAAAATACCATATATGACCGAATATAAGCCGAAAGTCTTTGGACAGTTTTTCATTTCCGAAGATGGGTAGATCCGCTTATAAAAAGGTTTTACGCAATTCGAAAGAAGGCACATGAAAAATCCACCCAGGAGTACACTGCACGTTTATGCCCCTAACTTCGTTTGGCACCACCCGTTACTGATGGAAGGTGTTCCAAAGGAGGACTGGAAGTCCCTCATTTTTACGTACGGAGTTTACGCAGCACTGCGGGCAACGTGATTATAAATAGCTGTTATTTTTGTAGCGAAAATGCTCAGTGTATTGCACTTTTGACATTCTAGACGGATGACAGTAAACGCGCCATACTGGAATATACAGAAGCAAACACCATCAGACAAAATAAGATGGGATAAACATGGCAGGAAAGAATTTACAGCAGAAAAACAATTTTTAATTCGTAAATTATAAACATGGAAATGCGAAAAACACAATTTTGCAAACAGTACTCTTTTCGACATATCTCCTCAGGCATTTACGATTATAAAATAAAGGCAGAACACAGGTGGCTGACTAAGCCAAAGAGGTGTGAATAGTGGAACCACGACAAACAGAAACTCAAAAGTCATGATCAATAAAGTCCACTAAAACAAATGTTACAGAGTACGTGTTGGTTGATCGGTGGAATGTCAAGTGCATTATCTGATCACTGTAGGCGCACGGAGTGATAAAATTGGTAAGCTAACTAGGGCCAAGGTAGATGAAGCCCTTGCGGCAAAGCCTTCTGTTCGCAAAATTCCGGTTGAATTACTCTAATCGCAATCGCTTCGGCCGTCCGTGAGATTTACTTCCTAAGACCTTTAATGTACCGTGGCTGTAATACATAAAGTACTTGGAAGGCATCAGCGGTCCCCATCCGCTGTCCGCTTTCCACCAGATGTTCCAGGATGGAACTGTTGGGGCGACTGACGATGCCTTTCCGCAAAGTCGCTGCGCAGTGCTCCGCAGTGCGTTTAGACAGACGCCTGGTTGTGTCCCACGCACCTCGCACCAAAGATGCAGGTAGACAGAGATAAGCAGTAAGATTGGGACTGAACCGGAAGTCTGTCTTTAATGAGTTGCGCTATAAATGGGGCTGTTTCCGCAAGGTCGTGTGGGCATGCGGCCGGGAAGGTTCGAGCCACTGCACTGGAAATTCTTCTGGTTAGCAGATCAAAGCCAACATGACCTTTAAAGGGAACTGTTAGAAACACGTCCTTCTTAGAGACAGTAATAATCACTTCACCGCTATCGCGGATCACTGCATACTTTTTGATGAATCGTGTCGGGTAACCGTTAACTTGCAGCGTTTTGAGAATGCAGATCTTTCCGTCCTCTAGCTTCTCTTGGCTGCAAATTTTCAGAACACGAAAATACAAGGAGCGAACAAACTTACGTTTGTACCTCAGGAGTACAAAGCTCAGAAAATATGCATATTGGCCTGTCCAGATGGTCTACCGGAATACACATTTTTCAGTGAACCATCATTTCTTCAGCTAACAACAGGTCCAAGTAGGCTAGCTTACCATCACTTTCGGTTTCGATAGTAAACTTCAACGATGGATGAACACCGTCTAACTGGTTTAACAGGTTGGAAACGATAGTGTTGGCATCGCAGATTAGAAACATATAATCCAAATAGCGACAATATTTAAAAAACGTGTATATGTAAAAAACATGTTGACGATGCATTGTCTCACTTACATTTCATTTTATGACTTGTTAGCCAGGGAGCTACGAAACGCAAACAAACGGCGTATTGCCAAACGCCTAACCAATGTATTCATAGATTTATACGTCTAATACGCGAACATCTCCGCTATTCCACAAAAGCCTATATTGAGTCCACCAAAACGCTTTTCACTTTATTATGCAATTGATTTTCGCAATAATTTCCGTCCCATGAGACTTGTTAAGCGATGCTGGTTACCCGTAATAAACTACTGTTCCATTGTTCCAATAGAAATCAAACGAAGCGATGATGGGTCGTATAACTTCACGCTCAAGCATAGCGAGGGAAATATCAGCAAGGAGTGGTCCTAGGGGAGACCGCATCGTGACACCGTCAATCTGTCTGTAGTAGACTCAATTAAATAAAAATTGTCTGTTAAAAATATGCTGTAAAATTGATCCCTTCAGTTTCCTCACCGGAACATCCACGTCTATCTTCTTTTCATTCACGCAATCACATAAAAACTTGACAGTTTCCATCAATGGAACATTGGTAACGACTGACTCAACGTCCAGAGAGAGCATCAATTTGTCATTTACTTTCATGCATTCTACTCGTTTCACAAATTCAAATGTGTCCTTCACGGTGTATGTGCAGAACTCCTTGCGTACTGGTTCGAGCAAACCCGCAAGCCATTTTTCAAGGGAGTGAGTAGTCAAGGCTGACTTGTCGATTATCGGACGCAGAGGGACTTGTGGTTTATGTACTTTAAGTAGTCCATAAAGACGTGGAGGATGGGAACCCATTGGCGTTAGCTGTTCCAGTAGCACGCTATCTATTTATTTAATGGAGTCTACTACAGACAGATTGACGGTGTCGCGATGGGTTCCCCCTAGGTCTACTCCTTGCTGATATTTTTGTCGCCATGATTGAGCATGAAGCTATACGACCCAGCATCGCGTCATTTGATTTCTATTGTCTTTAAGTGGATGATATGTTTCTAATCTGCGATGCAAACACCAATGTTTCCAACCTGTTAAATCAGTTGAACGGTGTTAATCCATCGTTAAAGTTCACTATCGAAACCAATGATGCACTTGACATTCCTCCGATCAGCCAACACGTACTCTGTCACATGCGTTTTAGTGGACTTCACTGATCAAGACTTTTGAGTTTCTGTTTGTCGTGATTCCACTATTTCCACCTCTTTGGCTTCATCGGCCATCTGTGTTCTGGCTTTCCATTTTATAATCGTAAATGCCTGAGGAGATTTGTGGAAAAGAGTACTCTTTGCAAAAACAATTTTGTTTCTCTTTTTGTTGATCGTCTTTGGGTGTCGGCTAATATGGGGACTTACGACTTTGGAAATTTGATATTGCAAAGTTATACAGTCGGCTTATACATGGACAGGCTTATGTTCCGTAATATACGGTAAGTTCGAATATACAGGGCTTGGTTTCAAACCACCAATGAACCAGAATGTTGCACCGGTTATAGGTGGTGAGTCAGTTAGCTCGAGTTAGTGGAAAAATGGTTGATTCCTTAGACGAAATTTTTAGTGGTAGAAAACAAATGTTCCATCCTAGGAACTGGTTCATCAAGGGAACCTGGTTGGCACTCCCGGTGTGCCAGTTTTCTGCACTGGTGGTCGATGACATTTTATCTGCATGGAGGCGCGGAGATTGGTGACTTGATCTGACAGCGTTCTTCTTCCTGGGTCCCTGCACACAAAGCTCCTAGGTTGCTTTGTGTCTTTCAAACCGTTTTGCTGAACTCGGTAAACCGTGAAATTTAATTGATTCAGCCTTAATCTGCTCTACGCATCGACTTGTTCTTACTGAGCTTCTAGTTGATTCCATGGTACTGAACAAAGTGCCATGAAAAATTTTGCTGTGGAAAGATGACTTTTCTCCTCGGCTCGTAACTCTAGTTGAAGCCCATATTCTGCATCGGTTTGTATACCAACACTTGGTTCATGTTAATTATTGCTAAACAAGCTGGGCCAATAAGCAGTAATTGGCATATATTATGATAAGTTTATTCTGAATTTGCCATGAACAAACGCTGTAAAAACCATAAATGCGCCACTGACTAGCACCATTATGACGAGATGAACTTTTAGTGTTTTACCGGATGTGTGAGGATGTCTTAAGGAATCTTGCGGCGATGGAGAGACTACCACTACATTCAACTTCGGTTAAATCAATACCGCTATGTAGTCGCCACTTTTATCTCTCAGCGCAAGCCCTAGCTTATGTTTAATAGAGTATAACAATTGACACGTGGAAAAGGAAACGTTTCTTTGGCTGTCTTTGTAGTCCAAATGAAGTCAAATTGTCTGTATAATAAAAGCAACAGTTTGTTGTTGCCTCTACTTACCGATAAATCACTAACGTTCGTTTTAATGGATTATTTTCTCCATGTCTTGTGCCGTAATCTCTAAACCTGGCTTGCGGAAAGCGGCATGTATGCCACTTGTATTGTTTGGTACCATGGGCACATGTATCTTCCAGGTAGGCAGCTATTCATTAATCAGGAACAACAATTTTTACCGTTTAAACTTAATGTAAAGGAGCAAGATATTTCTGCAACACCTACTGTCCTTATTTATAAACATACTGAGCCACACAGCAAATGACAGCCCCATCATACAGAATAAGGTGATTTTTGCGGCAATGTACAAAGTTGGTCATATGATTATATGAAGGGATCTATTTTATTTTAACATAATAATTAAAATTCAACATTGGGTAGTAAATGTTCCTAACCTTACCATCTCTATTTTATGTCTGCCCGATTGTGAAGAAGATGGAAATTCAATGTGGAAGGCTTGACTTTGACGATGGAGGGACTTACATTGGTCAGTGGCACCGAGGCTTCGCACACGGTTTGGGCCTGTCGACAGGTCCACAAGGCACGGGAGAGTATTCTGGTGAATGGGATTCGGGATATGAGAAATGTGGTACTTACATTTGGCCCAACGGAAATGTGTACACGGGCACTTGGTCCAAAGGGAAGCGTCATGGTAGCGGTCAGCAAGTAAAAGGAAACTGTGTTTACCTAGGACAAATGTCAAATGGAGCTTGTGGACCATTAGGAATCAAAACCACATTCAACGGACAGGTTTTGTACAGAGGTGACTGGAAGTTGAACCGGTTCGATGGATTTGGTATGCAAGAATGCTCCGACGGAAGTAAGTAACGATCCAGTAAGCCAATTTAATTCATTGTAAATACTCTATTATTGGGAACAAAATACCTCGTGCCATAATTATCCATCACAAAACTGTTAAATTCATCTACATCTTCACGCCAGTACCTCTGAAAAGGACCGCGTGTGAGTGTCTAACGACCTAATATCCCAACTCGATTTAAGGTACTCTCTACAGTGCTGACTTACTGTCGCCCTTTCGCGATGATCTCTCGGGGATCACACATTCATGTTATCATGGACCGATGTAGTGGGATTGATATCTTCGGACTGACTCACATTTTGTCCGCAACAAGTAATTTTTAGCCTAAAGTCCCATCCATATCCATTCCTTCAAATCGGACAATGTTGTTACTACTCGGAAAATTTTCATTATTGCTAAGATGAGTGATTACGTCCTCTCATGTGTTCAGTACATCGCTCTTGGAAAGCAAACAATTAAGATGAGAGTCTACAAAGTGATAATATACGCCATCCATTTGGCCGTAGCGGCATACATTTTATTCGCTGAGTTGTGGATAAGCTGATCCAAGTGGATCAATACAGTCCGTTGTTTAACTCAATTCAAACACACATTCGCGTGGCTTTGGGAGTGGAAGATTTGGCCTGAGTACTACTCCCAATTAAACCTAGTGCTAATCTAACGATACGCTTGTTCAGTACTGGAGTTATGCCTTGACTGCCAGGGAAAGCGAAAAGTAACAACTTGCAATGTGGTATTCATGAAACCGAACTGTTATGACTTGGGAAGCACTTATTTTAATTCTGTTTGAGTTGACACTAAAAACAACAATAATCGTGTTTTGCTCATTGTGCATCTGAGGTAAAGATGGGATGTCTGGTGCCGAAGGTAATTATAAGATGGTTTAAACGAAATGCACGAGCACTTTATAATTACATACAGCAAATTGTACGCAGTTTGGACTTTCGCCGTTTGCTCCGCTGAGGGCTAGCCGAAGCCTAACCTGTGACGTAGTCAGAGCCAACGCCGCAGGTAAACTTGTTCACTAATACTAATAAGAATAAGGCTAATAACAATACTATGCGCATATATCTCTACAGAACTAAAAACTGCTCCTAACATAACAACAGATCAGTATGTAAATAAAGTATCGAGCTCTTACGTGAGTGCATATCGACAACGGTTGTTAATTTTGCACATTTTTGTTGCATCCTAGAATATTTCATCAGGTTGTTGGTCGGAGCACTACCAAATTCATGAAACTACAGAGTTATGTGTGGAACGATGCAGGGTTTTCACAAATGCTAAATGTGTTTAGCGGGCTGTTCTACAAGACGGTATACCTAATGGGGAAAATATTCGAGCGCATGGTTGTTCTGGCCCTGGTCCACTTAGCGCATATTTTTTGTCGCGGAATCTGTTTTCCCTATATTGAGTTATCTTTACATCAGACAGGTAGGAGTACCCTTTCTGAATCAAAAATGGTGTAGGGTAAATCTTCTACTGAAAGAAACTATGATAAATGATCTCTGTAAAGTTTCCTGAGCTTGCTTATCCATCTTTCGCATGCTAGCATGGGTGGTGCTGCAGAATAGGAGCACGGGTTTTGAATTTCATTAGTTTGACAGGGAATGTGTGAATTTTGTGGTACATGTTAACCACGGATCGTCTGGCTCCAGTTACTTGATATAGGACTTGTTCAGGAAAGCGGAACTAGGTGCCATAGAGGATTCCAAGTTCACGTGTAGACTGCCGTATGAACATACCCTTGTTGTTAGATGGAAATTGGGTATTGCCCACCCGAAAACACTGCACAACCACGACGCGTTTCGATGTAATTTTTCATCTCATCAGGTGGAGACAGCAGGATTTGAACCCAGGACCATTGTTGTCGTTTAATTGGCCTTCCGGGGATCGAGAAACCGTACGACATAATGCTTGATTTGCCGGTCGATATTTTAATCAGCGAAATGCCGTTCCATTCCACAAGGAAGTGAAGTTCATCTTGAAATAGAAGCAGTGTTTTGCAACTTATCCCAACGGTGTTTCTAGATAAGTTTAGTTTCATAAGCAACTGAAAACCGTTGGCTATTTTTAATGGACATGCCGATATCATTGACGTAGAGGAGAAAAAGTAAAGAGCCAATTACAATTCCCTGGATGACAGCGCTGACAATCGGGCATGAGAAAGACTGGATGTCATCCAAATCAACTAACTGAAATCGATTTTTAGGCAGGAGCGAAGCCAGGTTAGGTTACAGCGGCTCCCGGACTCCAAAGCATGCAACCTTTTTCAATAACCGTTTGTGTAGCATACGGTCAAATGCTTTTTCTAAGTCTAAAAATAAAACTGTGATTGCAAAACCGCGGTCTATGGACTCTGACTCGTAATTAAGGTAGTATAACTGGCAGGCCGTGCAGGAACGTCTTCAGAGGAAACCACATTGAGATATGCTAAACAAGGCCAACAATTTGGTGGTTAGCAGGGTGATTAATTATATTTTTGTGAAGATTCATTGCAGCTAGAATCGGCCAGACCGCGACCACACATCCAAGAAAGGGCTAAAGGGCCGTTATGTCCTATTGGATAGGACTCATTAGTAGCGTGTATCGCCTGGACCGCGTTGGATTTGAACCCACAACCTTACTCTTAAAAGTCAGCAACCAATACCACTGACTCATGAGTGACGGCGGCGGACCACCATAAATGATATCTAACTGGTCCCCAGAACTAAGACTACCCTCGCAAGCCGACACCAATCGAGGCGACATGTAAGCAGCTAAGGAGTTTATTAGTTACTGGTGAGTATTAGGGAGATTTATTATGTTGTAAGTAGCTTCGCCGTAGCTAGAATCAACCAGAGGGTCGCTACACATCTAGGGGCACTAGACAGCCGTTTTGTGTTATTAGGACTCGTCAATAGCGCGCAACTGCCGGACCCCACCGGATCTGAGTTAAGGAATTCCAGTAAAGTATTCTAGAGTAACCTTGCGAACAGAATGGCGATAGTGGGAGTATGTTGAATCCGTCAGTACTCGGTAACCTTTTGTTTGTGACAATTTTCTTGGCGTGAGATGGTGAACCATGTTTCTTTTTATCAGGAGAGCAGCTTGTTTGTAGCGATAAAATGAACTTATTCAATAAATATCGGTTGTGGTGCTCAACTCTTAACCACTGTTCTCAGTCCCGGCTTAGCTGCTCTGTTCGGAATTGGAGTTTGATGTTGAACGTTCAGCTCGAGGACCTGATTCCTCTGGGTCCAGTGGGGTAGATTTTTCGGCAGTTGCTCGTTGTACAAGCTTTGCCAGTTCGTCGCACTTCTGCACCAGGATAACTAAGTCTCTGACGAGTGGAATAGCTGTACATTCTGTGCAGAACCAAACGGATCCGGTCCTGTTATTTCCTTTCATTACTTCTCTTAGGCTAAGAAGACAGCTTACGTAATGGAATTTTTAAAACCTTCTGTTCCAGTTCGCATATTCTTAAAACAGCGTCCACTATTGAGGTTCGATTGTAATGCTTTAGGCTCAACTCTTAGTGGGCAGGCAGAGCGTGCCATGGTAACTGTGAATTCGGGGGGGGGGGGGTACAGTCCTCGTTGTCATGCTAGGCTCAGAGTGGTTCCATCCAGTGTGAAGCAGGATACGGGATGTTGTTGCTATGCATGCTGGAGGTGTGTGGGCCGGCTAGTTGTTGAAAAGTCGTTCCCATCTATGTGTCTCCCGGTGATATTTTTTCTGGTTTACACTGCATATGGGCTGTGCGGATGGGGTTGTAGTACAAGCCATTCCTAGTCCCTGAGTAGGCACAGGCGTCCTTTGATTGTCCCCATGGTGTCTACAGTGACAAACAAGTCCGGAATCAGATGCCCTCAACCATATGTGGCAGCTCACTTTCATTCAGTTATTAGGATAAAGGTATAATTTTTTGGGTCCAGACAAATAGCGTTCGGTTAGACTCTGCTCGTATTTGCCCTTTTCTCGCGCTTTTCTCGTGAGCACAAGCTACTGAGCGCCTGGTAGTTTGAGTAACCCTAAACTAGTTGATAGAAGTGAAATCAGTCCCACTGCGTTCTCCTCTGATTCAAGAGAAGCTGCAGTGTTCGATCAGTCCATGGGGACAACTCGCGCTGGGTTTATTTTTGGAGTTTAGGACAATTCACTCACTGTGAAATTTTTATTTTGGAACACAAAATATTCCGTGTACCACCAGCATCTATCTTTTGAGAGATGGTCCAGGCCTGGATGCTATCCGCCGTTGTTAAACAGGACGGATTAGTGCACCAGAAGTTCCGACGGCAGACGCCTCGGTTTTGATTGGCTTAGCGTTCATCCACGTAATGAAAATTGTGCAGGTGTCACTACGGCTAATTGATGGGAGTGTGGTCAGATCGGAGGCATCAGATAGTGTTGGTGTCAGCACAACATCGAGGATGTGCGGTGTCTGACCAGGTAGTATCCTGATGTATATGTAGACACACTGAACTACTTTGGTTTTGACAATTACACCGAGAAGATAGGCGTCAAAGCATTCAGGAAAGAGCTTGTAGTTGATTATATCCCAGTCGACATCAGGTACATTGAATTCTCTCAGAAATAGCTAGCTCCTGTCTCTCCCACAGGTATAGACTGAGTCCAAAACGCTGGCACCGTTACTCAATAGGTGCTTATACTTTACCTTGATAGTGAGGGGTTTGCGTCCGTCATGAACCCGGTACTACAACATTACTGAACCGACGTCTCTGATGGTATCAATAATGAGTACCTTAAGGTGTGGGTTCCAGTAAAATGTTACGCCTCCCCCGATCTTTGTCCCAAGGAGATCAGCCTGTGAAAACTGGTATCCTGGGGCACGGACCTTGCCAGCAGGTTTATCCGGGGCTTGCCAGAACTCAACGAAAGTGAGTAGGTCTGGGTGAATGTCCGAGGTGAGGGTGAGAATCTCGTCCATCATCAGACATTACTGCACTTGCGATCTGGGCAGGACAAGGATCGAGCTCTCGGATTTCTCTTCGCAACAC